CCCCCACCCCCACCCCCTGTTTGCCAGGCTAGGTATTGGGTTGCTAATGGCCTTTTACCCACTAATGTACGCGCTGGAGGGGACAGTAGTCAATGGTGAGCTGAAATATTAATATTTACCAGCCACGAGGGGGTCAAGGCGGAATGGATTAGGCCATCTTTAATAAAACATGTCACCACCAAAGAGACCACTGCTTTGTGATCTCTCCATTTCTGTTACACTCACAACTGGATTTATGAACGTTTTATAAATCTTTGAGGGGTTTTTGTCTGTCTGAAAAGAACTTAGAGGGCTTGGCAGTTTAATGGGCATGATATAATCACTTTTATCCTTAGGTACAGGGTATAAATCAATAGTCTATAAAGTCCTGGTTTTGTTGCGTTGTGGGCTGAAACATGGCTGCAAATGATTAGTGTGGTGTCTGGAGGGTTTAAAAGCCTTTACACATAATACCTAAAGTATCAGATATACGATCGCTTTTTGACATTACATGCACCACACTGAAGTGCTCAACATTATTGTGAGGGAGGGTCTGGCAGAGCAGGTCATGGAGGTATTGTCAATGATTTCTACTGGAGAAAAATGTGTAACAGCAAAGCATCAAGGGGACAGAGAGGATTACTTACACACAGTATACAGTATGTACATAAATGTGGAAGCTGCTTCACTGAAGGTCATCCATCCAAATGTGGGTCTGGAGGGGATATGGCTGGGATGGGATGAGGATTACATGGGATAATGTGCTGAGACTCCAGTCAACTGAAGGGCATTCCTGTCTGTATGCAGGTGTACCTCAGATGTGGAAGAATTCTTAGGAAACATTTGTGAAAATCCCCAACATCTGAGGAGATGGAGACCTATTGAAAACCATTGGCAGTTCTATCACAGGGCTGGCAATTCTGGCATACCAGAAAAAGCGAGATTGTCTATCATACTGTGTGACTGTAAGTGTAGTATAGTTATTTGAAGTCCTTATTTTATTTAGCAACAGATAAAAGCTGGGTTGTGAGTGAGGTGACAGTGTTGGAGGCATTTGTTTTTTCTTTGCGGAACTCCAAGCTTTCACAGTGTTGAAGGAACTCTCATTCCAAGAGATAAGGTTTTGGTTTATGGTTTCTAAAGAAAACGATGCAAACAGCCAGCTGTACCTGTGATGAAGTCAGTTCTCAGACAAAAAACATTAATCTTTCCCATGTCTGAAGAATCCTGTTGAGCTGGAGGCTGTGCTCTGAGAATCATAAATAAGAGCACATTTTAATCTTTAACACAGCAAACAAATCTGTTTTGAAAACAGGGGAAAAGGTCAGGGAGGAACAGAGATACCAGCCGTCAGGATAGAGAAAAGGAGATAGCTTTACTATAAAGAAGGCGTCGCTAGCAGAAGATGCAACATCTCATCATACACGCATACATGGTGAATATATTTATGCCATTTTCTGTTGAGTATGTACCTTACAAAAGCTGTTATTTTGCATGTTGAAGAAGCAAGACTTTGACGAGCTGCTCTGATACATATGGTAAAAGCAAGAAGATGCTAACATGAGAAATAATTTTAAAAAGCCAGACAGCATGTGATCAATTATTGAACAATCTAGTTGCAAATCTGGTATGTGCAGTCAAATTCTACACTGTGCAGCAATTTAGAATGAAAAGAAACACAAAGCTGTAAAATTGCACATTGACATCCCCCCCCCCACCCGTTAAAGGTGAGCTGAGACAATGCAGACAGTAAAAAGAGAGTCAACGTGCACAACAGGAAAAAAAGCACTGCAAATATGCATAATTCTCTTTTCTTTATAATATAGCCAGTTTTTAAACCTTTCCCCACTGTGATCCAGTTGGGGGGGAGAGAGGGGGGTGCAGGGGTCCAGACCAAACCTGGAGGAAAACTGTTAGAATGATTCCAGTGAGAAAGTTCGGACCCACGCTCCGACCCCACGTTGGATCTCTCTTTTTCTTCGCTTTCTTCTAGTTCAGCAGCGTCTCCTGTTTTTGCCAGGATGTCTGTGCTCCGTACTTAAACTAGCAACATCAGAACCAACATACTGAAAAATAATGGCTTTATAGTAAAACTCACCCAGCTCATTTAAACTCAGAGGATGTTCTATGAGTTTCTGCTGAGAGACAGGGGGGAACATTTTTGGAAGAGGGTATAAATGACAGAATGTTTTGTTTTTTTTAACGGGCGAGAAAGGCAAGTAATGTTTTCAAATGGCTGCATCACCTATCGTTTTTCCAACCCAGTTAACATTTAACCACGCTCACTTCGGCATGGACTTATAAAGAGAACGTCGCCAAAAACGATATGGGTTGTTTCTCAGCCGGTGCAGCGTTAAAGCGTCAGTTTTCATCACGAAATATGAATCGGACAGCTACAGTCGATTCATTGAGAATCTTTTTCAAAGTAGATGAAAATAGTGTTTTACTTTTTTTCTAATATGAAAGAAGATCACAGTTATGCATAGCTGAGTAAATGTTAATAGTTTTTTAACACTGTCAGAGGATAACAAATATTCCGTTGCTCCAACGTTATTCACTTAGACTGGGACGTCCTCTTTTTATGTCCATCACGCGCAGAGGGAGGTTAGCGTGGTTAAATCTGAACTGGGTTGGATAAACGCACCGGGACACATGTTCCGTTTTAGGGACCTCCTCCTTCAAAGTCTGAAAATGAATATGACCTAATGGATCCAGAATGTCTGTTCTAACAAGACCCCTCTAAACGAGCCAAGAACCGCAGACTTCTTAAAAAAGGTTGAATTGATTGTGGGCCATGAATTCTCATGTTTAATTGTTTAAATTGACAACTTATTTGACTAATGTTAAGCCACTACAGATACAAATAATGATTCCACTGGAAGATCACGCAGACTGCGTGGGGCCTCTTCTTGCGGAGGGAGCCTCAACTGAGCCGCAAATGCGGCGCACCTATGCGTTTATGCGGCACAATTAGTGTGACGCGGCACGATGTTGCCGCTGCGAGGCTCCACTAGCACCCAGCGGCAACATCGTGCCGCGTCACACTAATTGTGCCGCATAAACGCATAGGTGCGCCGCATTTGCGGCTCAGTTGAGGCTNGCCCTC